CTGTTTGCCCTTTTCGGCTTGCAAATTTCCCTCTACGCTTCCGAACAAGAGTAGCAACAGCGAAAATAATGTAAAAGCGTGTTTCAAACTAATGGAGTGCACGAATGATCGACTCCGAGGGGAATGGGATTGAAACGTAAGACGTGTCGTAACCGTAAGGCTGGTATCATGTTTTTATGGTCAAAACGTAGTATAACTACTCTTCATTACAAACTTTTTAAGTAAATTGCAAACACACTTTATTTCTTGATTTACACACTACCACTTATCTTGAACGCTTTTGTTACCACTAAGCTTAAAGTCTGGATATCTTCATCCGCTGGAGGTAACTTCGCGTTAAATTAAATTCATTAACGTTAAGATGTCAAAGGGATCCGGTATGAAGGGTCTAAGACGCAAACTGTAAAATTTCATTTAAAAAATTTTATGTTGAAAAGCAGCCTTAGGTTAAACGCTTTACGCTTTCCCTTGCCCCGGAAATACACTCAAACAAATAGTTGTTTAAAACAAATTGGTCGACAAAATTTCCCTCGCCCTTGAATTACAGTCCAATAAATCCTGCTTCTTTGAAAAATTATAAAATTTGGTTTTGCAAAATATTACTTTCATGTGATAACATCTATGGAGTAAAAATAATATAGAAAGTGTAATTTACAGTGTAAGAGAAAAAAAGAATGTTTCAGCTTTTTAAAATAAAACCGTTGGGGCACCGAGACGGTTCCACATTAAAAAAAAATTAGGCTCCCAAGAAGGTTTCACCTTCTTTAAAAAATAACAGTTGGCATCCCGGAGAAGGTTCCACATTTCAAAGAAAACCCGTTGGGGCTCCTGAGAAGGTTTCATATTTAAAAACAAAGACACTTGGTGCCCCCGAGAAGGTTTCATCTTCTTTAAAAAAGATAGTTGGGACAGCCGAGAATATTTCACACTCTTAAAAAAAAGACAGTTGGGACTCCCGACAAGGTTTCACCTCCTAAAAAAAAACATAGTTGGGACCTTGAGAAGGTTTCACCTTCTTAAAACAAAAGGCAATTGGGACCCCCGAGAAGTGAAAAAAAAGTTGTGGACTCTTCGAAGGTTTTATATTCTTAAAAAAAACATTGGGGTTCCCGAGAAGGTTTTATGTTCTTAAAAACATTTGGGACCCATAAGAATATTTTACCTCAAAAAAAAGACAGTTGGTGCCATCAACAAGGTTTCAGCTTTAAAAAATCACTTGGGACCCCCGAGAAGGTTTCAGATTGTTAAAAAAAGTCAATTGGGATCCCCGAGAAGGTTTTATATTCTTAAAAAAGACACTTGGGCCGTCAAGAATGTTTCATGTTCCTAAAAAAGACAGTTGGAGCCGTCGAGAAGATTTCACCTTCTGTAAAAAAAGACATTTGGGACCCTCGAGAAGGTTTCACATTCTTAAAAAAAAGACAGTTGGGGTTCCCGAAAAGGTTTCATTCACTTGCTTATAAAAACAGTGGGGGTCCCTAAGAAGGTTATATGTTCTTAATAAAAGACAGTTGGGGTCCCTGAGAAAGTTTGTCCTGCTTAAAAAAACAATTGGGGTCCCCAAGAAGGTTTTATGTTCTTATAAAAGACAGTTGGAGCACCTGAGAAGGTTACACATTCTTTAAAAAAAAGACAGTTGGGGCCCCCGAAAAGGTTTCACGTTCTTAAAAAAGACAGTTGGCGCCCCCGAGAAGGTTTCACTTTCTGTACAAAAAAAAACGACAGTTTGGTCCCCCGAGAAGGTCTCATCTTCATAAAACAAAAGGCAAATGGGACCCCCGAGGTTTCACCTTCTTAAATAAAAAAAAAATGTGGACTTTGAGAAGGTTTTACATCCTTAGAAGTACAGCTAAAGCCCCTGAGGAGGTTTCAGTTTTAAAAACTAAGACACTTGGTGCCCCCGAGAAGGTTTCACCGTCTTAAAAAAAGAACACAAAAATCGGGTCTCCAAGACGGTTTCACCTTCTTTAAAAACAGACAGTTGGGGCTCCGAACAGGGCTTCACATTCTTGAAAGAAACAGTTGGAGCCTCGGAGACGATTTCATATTCAAAAACAAAAACAACTTGGTGCCCCGAGAAGATTTCACTCTTAAAGAAGAAAAAGATAGTGGGGGCTCCGGAGAAAGCTTCACATTCTTAAAAAATCCAGTTGCGGCCCCAGAGAAGGTTTCACATTTTTGCAAAAACCAATTGGGGCCCCCGAGAAAGTTTCACTTTCTTTATAAAAAAGACCATTGGGACATTCGACAAGTTTTCAGATTCTTAAAGAAAAAACAGTTGGGGCCACCGAGAAGGTTTCATATTTAAAAATAAAGACACTTGGTGCCCCCGAGAAGGTTTTATCTTCTTTAAAAAAAAAGACATTTGGGACTCCTGAGAAGCAGGTTTCACATTCTTAAAAAAAAATTGGGGCCCCCGAGAAGGTTTCACTTTTTTAAATAAAATACAATTGGGAGCCTTGAGAAGGTTTTATGTTCTTAAAAAACACAGTTGGAGCCCTCGAGAAGATTTCACCTTCTGTAAAAAAAGACATTTGGGAGCACTGAGAAGGTTTTACATTCTTAAAAAGATAATTGGGGCCCCCGAGAATGTTTCAACATCTCTAAAAAAATTCAATAGTTATTTTTGTATTAAAGGCGTGATGACGGCGATTTTGGTCCACGGCGGATTTATAAGCCCGAGGAATTCTAAGAGTCAAAGGGCCAAAATCGTTGCTCACGCTCGAAAAGCAAATAAGATTTTTTGTAAATCGATTAAATCCATCCTAAATCTTTAAAAAAATAAATGGCACGATTCCTTGTAAAAAATCGATTATGTTGTTGGTTGACAATGTGATGCAAAAAAAAAGAAAACATTAAAAACGTTATTAACGTGTTTCACTAAGAAGTTGAATTCGTGATAAAAATATGTCCGAAAACGGAAAACAAGAAGAAATAGCTATTTTAGCCAAAAAAGCAAAAGCTGTAACACTTGAATTATTGCCAGGAAAGTCAAGAAAAATCTATAAAAAAAACTTTCAATGAATCTGTTATTAGGTATCTTGCAAAGGAAACAATATTAGAAGGAACTTTATCTGCCAATCCTTTTGTTATTAATGTCCCTGCTACTGATCGAAATATACAGCAAAGTCAAGTGTTAACTTTGAAAATAGACATTAAAGCTCCTCCACACAGTCATTAAAAGATGCCAAAGTAAGGCAAAACGCCGACCCATTTTGTGCCTTAATTTTAACAGTTGAAGAGTAGGGCGATACATATATGTGCCCATGACATAAAAATGTTTAACGAAGCGTTTTGTGTTTTAAAAAAAAACGTAGTAGTTTTTAAAATAAAAAATAAAGTGCGTAAAACAAGAGCTGATTTTCAACGAAAACTGTAACTCCGTGTGCTTTTAAAAAATATCGAGGTGATAGAGAATTTTTTTCTACTTTAGGGGCCGTTTTTCGTTTTCTTCTAAAATTTTACTTCTTTTAGTTATTCTAAAAAAACTGTAAAATGAGAGATATTGATTAACTGGAATTTTATTATTGGAATACATTTATTCAAGCTACGCGTATATTAGGGATATAGGATGTGTCTATAACAATATGTGCAGTAAATTACTACAATTCCTAAGAAAGGAGTACTTACACTGAACAAATGGAAACGAGTACATACAAACTGGCTGTCACGGTCGGTTTTTTAATCCGCCGCCAAATATTGAGTATAGATACGTTGGCTCCGACAGTACGAAAGGGAGAGATAGATTTTAAGATACCAAAGAATTTCCAAGCAGAAATTATAGATAGCGAAAAGGTGTAATCATTGCACAATAGTTTTAATGGTATTTGCGGTGTTAGTTTCGTCTCTCATTTTGCACACCTTTCCTTGTGAATGTGAACAAGTGATTTTGTTTATTGTTTTAGTTTTTCAAGTTTTCATTATTTATTAGGTATTTTAATTAGCTAATTGTTTGTAACTACATACTTCAATAAAATAGCTATTCCAATTCTTGTTTTTTTCGGTTTTAGGACGCAAAAGACACTACTGACGCCCGCAAATTATTGTATAAATAGTATAAATGACTTCATTTTGATACGATTTTACAAAAAAAATATTTCGACAGAAGTTCCTAATCCGACAAATCCCTATTGTCTAAAATATCATAAAATCTGATTTTGCGTTTTTCGTTTTGTGATAACTTCGATGAAGTAAGAACTAGTGACGTAATTAACACTCCGCGATTTACACGAGTGTGGACAATATGAGATATATTTAAAGCAGATAACCAATGGTAAAAATCTAGATATACTCAGTTTCTCAGTACATGCTTAACTTCAACTGGTTATGATTTTTGATTAACGATTTATCATGCTTCCTGTAGCCCTAAAAGATTTCAGAGCATTCGGTTTTAGATTTTACAAAATTAAATTGTAAATACAATTTAGAATTTTTCCCCAAAAATCTGAACATCTAGGGTAAAAACTCGACAGAGATTCATAAATCACAAATGCAGGAGTATGTAATTCTATATAATATAAAGAAGCATTCGGTGTTTGCAGTTTCAGAGTTAAATTGCAAAATGTTGATTTACAATTTTGTTTTTTTTTTCCAAAAATTTGGATGTCTAGGGTACAAACTGGCTGACAGACAGACAGAAACGGGAGACCCACGTCTAGAAAACAAAAAAGTATCCAGTCGTGCAATAGACTCGATTGCAATACTTCCCAGCTTACACTCAGGAAGTAAAAGCAATAATACCACATTTAATTTTGTTCTGTTATGTACATCTGTAAAATTAAAATTAAATAACAACGCCAAGGGACATACGGACGGAAATTACCTAACTAAATCTCGAATAAAACGGCAAACTTCCATAAACGCGACAATATTCTCAGTCATCGCCGATTGTGTGGCGGAAAAGCATGCGGCCGCGTGCATTTGATGGCACATAGATTTAGATGTAGAGTAGAATGCACGCCGCCACCCAGGCTTCCAGTAGAGCTGTCGCTCCATTGCAGATGTCTCTGCAGGTGTCGTGGGTGCGGCACCGCGACGTCCACCTTCTGACAGTGGGCAGATATACCTACACAAGCGACCAGCGTTTCCGGGCGATACATCAGCCCCATTCCGAAGACTGGACTCTTCAGATTAAGTACCCCCAGCACCGGGACTCCGGTGTCTACGAGTGCCAGGTGTCTTCCACGCCGCACCTTAGCCACTTCATACATCTCACTGTCATAGGTAAGATATCTAGTATATCTATGTAGTATAGAAATACAACGAACAGGTACATTCTGTTTATGTTTAGTCGAACACATAACAAGAGTTACGGGTGTATAAATTTCATCAGCTAATATAAGTAAACTTCGCAGACTAGCCCTGAAACTTTTAATTATGTATATTCCATTCCTCCTCTGCATTCTGACAGCAGAAAGTGTGGGCAGTAATCGTCACCCGAAACTCCCCCGTCGACATTTTTCATCGAAAATGGAAACGTAACTCCGTCAGTGCTAAATGTCAATATGGACATTAATCAAGTTAAAGCCAGAACTCCATACAAGTTTGTATATTTCATTGCCAGTTTTGATTCAGACCCAGGCGGAGCTTTATTAACGGATTCGATCAAAATTTGTTCGTTTCGAGAACTATAACTTATAGTATCCTCAAATTGGATTCAGAGTTATTACGTCGACACGATTCGGTAATTTATTTAGCAGGCAACCGACGAAGTTTTCCAGCTGTAGAGGGGTCCGGATTCCGAACGTTAACCCCAAAATTATAAATCTTCAGCAAATAACAATTTTATTCAAGTTCTAAATCGAGATAAATTCTTCAGTGCATGGAATTCGAGTTGAAATGAAACAAGCAATGAAGAGTCTTTCCGTTGGAGTTTTTTGTGCGAATTCATTAATTTATTAAAACAAATTAAAACTCAGTGCCCTTTCAACCGTTTTTGTCCATTCGACCCAGTTCGGTCCTTCTAAATGATTAAAACTCTGACGGCTAAAAACCACACCTTTTTGTTATTGACAAAACATGAAATTATTAATTGAAGTGATCGATAATGTTTCAAACAGATTGACACGAAATTACCTGAAACATCAAAGTACTCAAACTGGGTTTTTTCCAGCGGGAAAAAATTACTAAACTCGATATTCATAAATCGATACCGAATTCACATATTTATTCACGTTCTGAATGAAATTTCTTTCAGTATTCAGGGGAAGTATGATTTATGGTTTAGTTTACTGAGCAAATAGACGTAATTTAAAATTTAACACCGACGAAGCGACGTAGACTTGCCCTACAAACTACACGATTCTACAATAATAGTCATCAAGTTTTAAGTTCGTGGAAGCAGGCGTGATTTGAAACGACATTAATAAAATATAGGACGATTAAAACGTCTGCAAAAATCGCAGGGAAAATAAAATTGCCATTTAGGAAATTTATGACAATGATTTCTACCTGGTGGAGTGAATGTGTGGCTGATTAATAGCTCGAATTCGATCCATCCCTTCGTTTTTCTAACTAAATTATAACCTGTGATAAATGTAATAATAACAGCATTAATAATAAACAATCATTTATTGTGTCAGGTTATAAATTATTAGAGGTGTCGGCTTTTGTTTATAGATCAATATTGATTTATTGGAGGTTATAAGCACAAAGCTCCGCTTAAACTGATTTCAGTAAGTTTGTACATCGAAGCATAAGTTTATTTTTTATTATTGTAAATAAAAATTCTCGTGTTATCCGTTTTGTACAAAATTTCAGCGATGTAGTGAAGCTTTTTCCTGAAATATGATGTAAAGCGAGTTCAAAATAGCTGTTATTTCTTTACAGTTTGTAATTTAAATTTAAAATTTATTAATGAGGAAACTTAGTTCGCAACACCCAGTTTACTTTCAACAAATAAATTAGTTTCTTGTTTCTCTTAAACTAGCAAAACTAAATTAATTAATAATTTTTTGTTATTGTTTTCGTCTTTTTTTAAATATTTGTTAAGCCACTCTGATTGCTTGCAATTTTCGTCCTCACTCTGCTGTTTAGCTACGTTATTGTTTGTTTTTTACGATTTACTTTGTTCCATCTCGTGTAATCTTCGTCTCAAATAAATCACAACCGTGCGATAACGACAAACAGAGACAAAAAATTAATCAAAACACTCACTGCCACCTCCTCAAAATAACAAAGGAAACTTATATCGACCATCGTGCACTGAAACAGCGTTTGAAAATCCCTCACTGCAATAATACAAGAGTTACGACTTGAAATAAGATTTGCAAGAACCTTTTTCCCTTATGATATCGTCCGGCCAATACGTCATAACTTTTTGTAACCTCAACCATAATTTTTCGTTTATTGTAAAAACGTAGCCTATTTGTCAAAACAGCCAGAAATAAAAAACGTATATTAAATCACACGTAGACGCGCTTATGAATTTACGAGTTTAATGATTCTGGCAATAAAGCGAACTCGCCATCCTAATTTGCCTGCATATTCATAATACACGATTATTTATATGAGAATTATGAAATAAGTATCTTGGGCGAGGCTGCGTGATTAAATTTTAATTAACTCGTAGGTCCTGCCATTAATAAACAACGGCCGGAAGGCCAGCGAGGATCAAAAATACGCCGCCACGCAAAAGTATCACCAGATTTTGTTGGATTGTGTTAATGTAATGGAACGAATTCTAAACTGGTGACGCCTAAAATCATGAAAACGCATATACAGAATTAGCGTTTTTTGAATTTCTTCAATCTTGTAAATTTTTGTTACCGCAGGGGTTACTCCACTACTAGAAACATGATTCTCCAGGGGTCATCGTCATACAAAATTTGATCACTCGGCCCAAAGTATTAATATAGACCAATAAAAGGATAACTATGTTGAAGTATTTAGTGACATTCTCTCTACGAGAAACTTAGTATTTCATTTGCGCTAGATCAACTTGCCCTAGAATTAAATAATTAATCTCTCACAGCGTCCTCTGCTCGGAAATTCCCTGCAGTTAATTTAAGTCTCAATAGCGTACTTTTTTACAAAACCAATCCTCTCCGATCTGATTATCCTACAAAGAATTAAACAACCCATCTTGTTTTCGTTCCCTCCAAACAAATGTTCCGCCGGTCTATAATTCACATCGCATTCCCTAATTTTGTACGCGTGTGATTCAGTAATCGGAAGCTATCGACCAGCGGAACATTGTCTGGAAGATCCTGCAGAAATGGCAGAGCGCCAGATTTCGCAGGCCGTTCCTGCAGCCGAACAATTAGTGCGATGGCGATGTAAAGCAGGTGATTTAAAATGCACAACGATAAATCCCGGGATAAAAATTCTCTATCCTGCAACTTAATTAACGCGAACAAAAAGACTCGTATCGATGACCCCTTCCGGAACAGCAGGATGAGCCGCTTAATATGCGTCATTCGAACGCTTTTACATTTCAAATGTTGCCGTTTTATGGAGTTGTTCTCGTCACAAAAGCTCAGGCATGTCTTTAATTTCGGATTCGGGGCATTAATTGCTAGAGTTGAGCGTTTAGAGGGCTGTAAAATTAAAAATAGGGGGGTCGTGGAGGAGGTTCAAAAGGAATCTATAGCAATCGGTATGAATAGAGCCCTTTGATCCACTTCGACAAAGATTGAAATTTCAAGCTATTAATATCAACAGCGGGTTTGTGACAAGCAAAATATCAGTTTGTCGGTTTTTACAATGTAATACCGCCGTACATAAAATTTTGTATGCATTACGGCCGCAACTAACGTTTATGGCCTTCATCACATTTTCACACCCTTGATGCATAAGTAATTATTAAATTTCTCTCTTTTTTGTAAACTTGATGTGGCACGAAATCCCCGGAGATTCCACCCGCCTGGGCACAGAACTTAGCGGCTGCTCTATACTGATTTACTGTAAAATCACTGCATATGTAGAAGGAATTCAGATTCCTAAGTGAACCGGCAGTAATATTCCTTTTGTTGAATGCGTTTTATTTAGAGTAAACTTAGTGGAACTGAATGAGATTCCGACAACTCTGGAAACTTATTCGCCAGAACTCTCTCTAATTTAATTATAATCAAATAAATACATAGTCAAAGTAACATCAAGGGAAGATCTTTGTTTGTAAGTTGCTTTCAACTTCTGCACCAGTCTCGAGGAGGAATTTTTTTGAGCTCCCAGCTTTCCATTATCTTCACTTAACAATTAAATATAAAGACTTTGATGTTTCATTGCCACGTGTTATGTTGAGTTAAACTGAAAACATTTCTGTGGAAATTGTTTAGACGACTTTTGTTTTGAGATTTTCTGGAGCACTTTGTACGAAAACAACAGCGTAGCGCCTGCAGGTGGGTCGTAGATGGTTGTTCTGATGTAAGAAGGCACTGCTTCGGGCTACTTTTTGTAGCGTTTCAGCATTTATTCATATTAATAATGAATGACTTTCCTCGAATTTTCATACAAGGATGGATAGCGAAAACAATTTGTAATAACATTCAGAGAATCGTTATTTTATGCAAATTTATGCATGGAATTAAATAATTAAATAAAATGTTTACCCTTGAATTATTTTTAATTCAACTATTAAAACATTGTTACTCAACCAACTCCACCATTTTGGCGCAGCTGGTTGGAATAAAAAAATGTTGGTCAGAAATTATCTGTCTCTTCCAATTTCTGGAACTGAGCGACTTCTGAGCTCTCTAATACACAATAGTATTTGTCTAAATCGTCTTAGATCCGAAAAACTAATAATTTGTCGTCATGTTTTAGATGCATTACAAACACAAAGGGTTCATAAAGTGCTCAATTTCGAACTGGAATTGTACGACAAATATATCATACCCTCTGCAGAAAGTAGCGATTAAGTTGAACCTATTAACGCTAACTAGAATTACATTCTGCGGATAGACTTGTCCATGTGTGAGCAGCAACAGGTTCATTCTGACTTATACAAATCGTTTCGTTAACCGTGAATTTATAGATCTCTCTAATTTCTCTGTCTCTTGAAACAATATGCTTAGTACTGCCATCACGTAGTAATTAAATCTACACGAGAACTGATGAACATGTTGCATTCGCTTAAAGTAAGCTCAATTTATCTACTCCTTATCATCTCCAGATAAATGTGCAAGAGTAAAGATTCCATTAATTCCGTCGGCTTTGAAACGTGGGTAATTGCCGCAATTTATTATTTATTGTTCTTTTAGACAATCCTAAGCCGAAAGCCGCAG